ACCCACTCGAGGCCTTAATAGACTTTTATTGTTAGTTCAAATTTGTCGTATATTTTCATTTATTATACCGTATATAAGAGATCAGTTAACTAAATGCGAATTCCGAGCTTTTTCCATGTGCGCGGGTATAACTGGTCTTAGAATCTTTTCAGTTTTCTTTTCTTTGTAAGTATGTATGTTTGTACCTACATATGGTAGATAGTTTAGAGCGCAGAGAATATGAAATATTATAACACACATTAGCGCAGGATAATGAGATTATACGCATATACGAAGCATGTTGTCCACAGCATCTTAACATATCTTCATCAATTTGATTACGCTGATTGAATGAATGGTGGAAAATGATTAGATGCTGTTGGAGTGCTGGTAACTCCCACCAGTTTTTGTTTAAATGCATTTACGTCATTCTGYTTCCCGTCATCGAAATGCCCAACTTATGCTCTTTCCACAATACTCTTCGGATTGTCCTTCAGTTTTTGCCATTATCTTAGCCAATATTCTTGAATGTTTTCTAACACGTGGTAAGCGACGGAGCGTATTCTGGACACGCTCTTTGTAAAATTAATTGCATTGTCTCAATGCAAATCCCAGAGTCATAAAGCACAGATTACGCGCAATTCCATCACACTCTTCTTTCATGAATGCCCTTCACTGTAGCGCTTTGCTTTTTCGCATTTTAGCGCAAATTCACACACCTACTTAGATGTACTTATTGTGGTCCAATTCAATGTTAAAATAAAATGAATGGTAATGTAAATATACTTTTACATGAGTATGAAGGTAAACATAAACAAATATTTAATGTAACGATCGGCATGACGTGTGAAATTGATGAAACCATTTTTCCTTCATGGCATGTCCGTGATAACTCGGGGAAGGTCGCGACACCTCAATCAAAGCACTGTTGATTTGCTTCAGTGTCCTATTCACATAATACATATATATAAATGTGATCGCCTACCAATTTTGAAGAGTTAAGAAATAGCGAAAACGAATTTCAATACTTTTTTCACWGCTAGCTATTTGGAAAAGCTTTCACGGTACCAAAATCAAATAGACTAGGCATGAAAATTGCAGAGACCCCTTTTTTACCATTTTAGGCTGGCGTGATTAAAGGTTGCAGTCAAACAAATTAGGAAAGAATTCTCAAWAGTCTAATGAAGACAACATAAAACGCAATCTATTTTTTTCTAATTCTATATAAGTTGGCCAAATAACTCCTCTGTGAGAGAAATACAAAAATGAATGTAGCCTTATCTGAAATTCAGAAACTACATTATAAAGTAGTAAATTTAAATTACATCAGCCAACTTCATTTTTGTCAATGCTACTTACTATTAACGTAGCACATACTAATACTATAAAATTATCTCTGGTTTTCATTATGGTATCTCACACGCAATCATCAATCAAATGGAGTAAAGTCAGCCGGATGTTCGAAAATCTGTATATGRGAGTTGGGTCAAGTTTTGGCCCAATTTTATCTTTTTTTGGCAGAAAGATACACTRTTATAAGTAAAACAAGTTCTGTAATTTTCATTGAAGTAACTCACACATTTACCAATATATGCGGTATAAAGTCACCCGAAAGTTTAAAAATCTTTATATTAGGTATATGAGACTTCAGGTAAGTATTGACCCGATCCAATCCAGTTTTGGTACACAGAGACACTATTATCAAGAAAAAATTATGAATTTTCGATATTTTTGGTCAAAAGTCAGCTATAGATATTGGGGCCCACATATTCGGTATCTAGGATCTTACAAATTTTTTTTGGATTTGGACAATTTTTGGTCGTAAGGTGGCATTATTCGGGCAAAGTTTTATTCTGTTACATTAATTTGTACACTGGAAAGTGAAGAATTATATGGGACGTAGTCGTGGTAGTACTCTTGTAGAACCCCCAAAGGTGATCTCGTCACCGATGCCCAGAGCATACTTAAATTATGGAGGGAACACTTCTCCAGCCTGCTGAAAGGCAGTGAACGCACAACGCCAGGAGAAGGCGACCCAATTCCCCCAATCGATGACGATGGAGCAGACGTTCCATTGCCCGACTAGGAGGAAGTTCGAATAGCAATTACCCGCCTGAAGAACAACAAAGCGGCGGGGGCCGATGGATTGCCGGCCGAGCTATTCAAACACGGCGGCGAAGAACTGATAAAGAGCATGCATCAGCTTCTTTGTAAAATATGGTCGGATGAAAGCATGCCCAACGATTGGAATTTAAGTGTGCTATGCCCAATCCACAATAATGGAGACGGCAGAATCTGCGCCAACTACCGTGGGATAAGCCTCCTCAACATTGCATATAAGTTTCTATCGAGCGTATTGTGTGAAAGATTAAAGCCCATCGTCAACAAACTGATTCTACCTTATCAGTATGGCTTCAGACCTGGAAAATCAGCAACCGACCAGATATTCACCATGCGCCAAATCTTGTGAAAGACCCGTGAAAGGAGAATCGACACTCACAACCTCTTCGTCGATTTCAAAGCTGCTTTCGACAGCACGAAAAGGAGCTGCCTTTATGCCGAATTTAGTATCCCTGCAAAACTTATACGGCAGTGTAAGCTGACGTTGGGCWGCACCAAAAGCTCCGTCAGAATCGGGAAGGACCTCTCCGAGCAGTTTGATACCAAACGAGGTTTCAAACAAGGCGACTCCCTATCGTGCGATTTCTTCAACCTGCTTCTGGAGAAAATAATTAGAGCTGCAGAACTAAATAGAGAAGGTACAATCTTCTATAAGAGTGTACAGTTGATGGCGTATGCCACTGATATTGATATCATCGGCCTTAACACCCGCGCCGTTAGTTCTGCTATCTCCAGACTGGACAAGGAAGCAACAGAAATGGGTCTGGCAGTGAACGAGGGCGTCATCATCCTGTCATCAAACAACCAGTCGTCGCACTCGCGACTTG